TGAAAAGTGAGCATAGAACATCTAGAAGACCATTATTGAAATTCCATCCCTACGTCACACGATAAGGAAAATTAAGTGAAATATATATTAAAGTATTTTTAACATTTTTAAATTTAAAAATGTATTAGACACAAACTACTTCCCTTTAAAGTTTACTTTTAAAAATATGTGCTCGAATTTTTACTGATTTTAATTTATAATTATTACAAAATGTTAGACGAACACGACTCTCCACAATGGTATGATATTGTCCACTTTGAGCATAAACTCTCATGACTTTCCTTTGGGCTTCCCAAAAGGCCTCATAACAGTGGAGTTAGTATTCCTCATTTATAAACCCATGATCATTCTCTAAATGAGCCGATGTGAGACTTTCATCATCCAACACCTCCCCTCGAACAAAGCACGTCTCCCCTTAATCGAGGCTCGACTCCTTTGGAGTCTTAGTCATTTTCATCATCCAACACCTCCCTTTGAACAAAGCACGCCTCCCCTTAATCGAGACTCGACTCATTTGGAGTCTTAGTCATTTTTTACTGCCTTCGTACCTTCGAGGAGGCTTGACTCATTTTTTCTTTTTGGAGTCCTTTGTTGGACATTCGAGGATTTGCCAATCTATTGGCACGGCTAAGTTTAGGGCATGACTCTGATACCATGTTAGATAAACATGACTTTCCATAATGGTATGATATTGTTCACTTTGAGCATAAGCTCTCATGACTTTGCTTTGGGCTTCCTAAAAGGTCTCATACCAATGAAGTTAGTATTCCTCACTTATAAACTCATGATCATTCCTTAAATTAGCCGATGTAGGACTTTAATCATCCAACACAAAGTACAAAATGAGTTTGAGCCGTGCAACAGAGGCCGTGCTCTGACCGCTCGCAAGATTATGTCAGCAAAGACACTAGATTTTGATGATGTGATGAACCGTATGAAGGGAGTACTGGTTGTCTAGGGCTGGAGGGAAGATGACACTCAAACTTGTCTCCTTTAATTAATTCCTTACCTTATATGCCAAGTAATCACATAAAACTATAGGTAGGGAATTGGAAATTTCAAAATTAGAATGGCGAAAATGAAATAAACACAGAGAATGAGGATGAGAATGGTAAGTAAACTTTTCTTGGAGGTCACGGGTGGAAACAGAAATCCATAAATGTCAGATTAAATTACTATAATTAGGAGCTTTTAATGCCAAGTCTAATTTGTTTCAGATTCTTTTCTCTTCTTTTTCACATTATCAAACGAGACAAAAAAAATTCTCACAATTTTCTCGCGTACTTTCCTGGGAGAGAAAGAAGGAAAAGAAAAAAAAAAAAAAACTCAAGAACATGAACTCATAACCAGAAATCGGTATGTTTGTAAAGCATCAATTTCAATAATGATCATCGTTAAAACAATCAGGATGCGATCGGTCCGCATCTCTTAACGAATGAAATATCATCATCAAAACAAAAAGGGGAAATCAAATCGAAAACTACTTATCGATTTTTTTTTTTCATGATTTGAAAGAAATCTCAAGAACATTCCAGAGCTTCTCTAATTCAATTGCAATCAGACAGAGTAAAGAATAAACTCATTACTCTCAACGCCACCGCCGACAACGGCGGCCTCGGCACCACGACGAATAACCTGATGAGACGACACATCGCCGCCGAGAACGGCGGCCGCGACCGCGGCCTCGGCATCACAACGACCGATCTGATTAGACGACACATCGCGAGCGCCGTCCCTGAGGCGAAGCTCCTCCTGGTTGTCAGAATGATGGCCATCGTCGGAGTTATCCGGCGGATGGTAGTACATCCGGCCAGTTTGAGGACAATGCGAATGAAATCTGGCAACAATCCTGACGCTAGCGTCAAGAATATCGATGAACTTCCCCATGGAGACGTCGAAGGAATCGAAATCTCTGCAACGATCGCAATAGGAATCGGAACAGAGAAGCGGATCTCTCTGTGCGAGAGATAGAGGCGATGATTGCAAACTTAGAAGACGTCCCAGGGGAAGGCCATAAAAATGGAGAGCGAAAATCTATTGTTAGAGGTGGAAGAACAACGGTGATGAATTCGTATTTATAGGCCCAGCTGGCTTCGTGCTCCGTTTCCCTGCAATTGGGTTTTCGTTTTCTTTTGGTTTGGAACGCGTGCCTCGTGTTCTTTTCTTAGGCGATCAATAAATAAATATTTCTTTAATTATAAATTTTTTCTCTACTAAATATTAATTTAAATATTTAAAATCATATATTTTCTAAAAATCATATAAACCAAATTTATAATTTAATCATTTTTATAAAAAAATATATATATATATTCAAATGTTTTAAGATATTAAAATAATTAAAATAATATTTTTAAATTTTATCCTTTAAATTTCAAAATTTTCATTTTGGATAAAGTTCTATTTTAATTTTTTATTTTATTTTATAAGTAAAATAAAATTATATGATGTGAATAATATTTGAACCATTTAATTTTTAGTTTTAAAAATTATCCAATTTTATTGGTTAAGATTTTGATTAAACTTTTAAGAAATATTTATTTAAATTATTAAGGTATTTGGTAATATTAATTCCTTTTTTAAATTAAAAAAATTGCAAGAATAAATTAATGTATTTCAATACTCTCATAAAAATCCTAAATATTTAAATAATTACCCTTTCTCTTTTGACTTTTTATTTATTTTTTTATTTATAAAAAGGCATCTTGTCCGACCAAAATAGTTGAATACACAAGAAAAGAGGTTGAAAATGTGTTTTTTTTTAATATATGTTGGAAATGAGAATAAAATTATTTATATTTTTCTTATTAAAAAAATATAACTTATTAATATTTTCATAAATATATCCTACTTTCCAAAACAATTACAATATTATATTAATGGATAAAAGGAAAATAACTGTTTGCCAAAGTTGGCTATTTATTTATTTATTTATTTCCGGGTGGATAAACATTGAAGGAAATAATTTAAAATTAAAAAAAATCAAAATCAATTAATACGGTAAACAATATTCGAATCGAATTAAGAATAAATAAGAAAAATATATTAAAGAAACAAGAATACAATAACATTAAATATATCTTATTTATTGAAAATACATTTAATTTTAGGAGTAAATTTATAATTTAAAAAAGTAATAATACATTTATTCTTCCATCGCCGACCAAATATATAATTGAAAAAAATGGTTGAAAATAATATTTTTATTTAAGAGTATTTATTCTATTTTAAGAACCCATTAAATGTATCTTATTTATTGGAAATAATGAAAATAAAGTAAGTCAGAGGGCTTGAATGTAAAAGCCTTATTTATGTAAGTGGGCCACGTACGAAGCGCGTGTATCGCAACTCCACGGGAAAAAATCGCCGCGTTATAGGCACCGAATAATTCGGAATAAATATATTCTAATTTATGGGGTTGGTGTGGTGTTGTGCGGCGGCAAAATAACGCAACGGTGAATTCCCAATTATACCCTCCCAGTTTGTACGGACATATTCGATAAAACAAATTTTTTAAAATAGAGTTATATATATATATATATATTTAAAATTTGAATTTTAATTTAAATAATTGTTAAAAAGTGCACGGTAGTGGTAGTGGCAAAACGAAGTAATAAGCTGAATATAAAGTATTATTAATTGTTTTTTTTTTTTTTTGACGTGTGCTTTTCTTTTATAAAATTTATATAATTATTGTTTATATATATTTTAGTTAAATAAATAAATGAGTGTATATCCATACTAAATTATTAAAGTTTTTATTATCTTTTAAATATAATAAAATGAATTAAGAAATTTGCCATATAGTTATCATGACAGTTATTGAAAAGTGATTAGAAGACTTTACTTTTGGTAGTTGAAGAACGACAATTTATGTCTGTCTTGTTCTTTTTCAATTTATATTTACTAGCTTTTATTCGAAGTTGTAGTTTGTAGTTAGTAGATGAACTCCATTGTGTTTGGTTTTTTTTTTTTTTTTTTTTTTTTTTTTTTTAAAAGGCATGTAATTTNTGCTTAAGGATCATGGTTGAATACAAACTAAACATTCGTGTTTTCTTGATACTTTTTTGGTGTTATTCTTTTTCAAACCTTATTTAGGTTTGATGTTTAAACTGATTAATTGAATTAGTTTTGATCAAGCTAATTATTGAGTGAGTCATTTTGGAATCTAAGAGTGAGATTCCAAGTTCGATCTAAGAGTCATTCATCTTCTAACAAACTCTTGGTTAGAATGAATTTGTTAGGTTAGTTTTGTGAACGTTCGTAAAGATTCTAGAACTTTTAGCTTTGTAAAATCCAACATTGTTGGCGTTTATCACTTTCTATTCTAAAACTTTCTTTAAAGAAAAATATTTAAATATAAAATATAATTTTTTAGAATACTTATAATTATAAGCATTAAATATAGTCGAGATATTATTTATAGAATTATTACCATCTCAAATAAGGTTAATTGTTTAAGATATTTGATCCATAAATGAATTTCTTATTATTATTTTTTGTTTATTAAATATTTCAAATCATAGGTAATAAAGTTATCCGATTAATATGATATTTATTATTTTTTTGTTTATTAAATATTTTAAATCATATAATCTAATTATGTAATAAAGTTATCAGATTAATATTATAGATTAACCATATAATTTTTCATTTTTCAATATAAATTATTAATTTATATGTACTCGTGTTATTAGAAATTGAGGTTGAACCACCTTGTAAATTATTATTTATTGACAAAATCGTTTCATTTATAATAATAAAAAAAATAAAAAATTAATGTAAGTCTAAATTATAATTACAAAATTTGATAACTTTATTAAAAAAAAAGAAATAGTCATTAATTTTTATTATTATTTCGATTAATAAATTGATAGGTGAAAACAACTCAAATGACATAACAAAATAATAAATCAATACAGAACAATCACAAAAATTTAATTTATAATTTAATTAAAAAAGAAAAAGAAAAAAAAAACAACAAAAATCTTTCCACACTCTCAAGTCTCACCCGCCACTGGAGCCTCACCTTCACCTTCACAACGCCCCAATCTTCGGCTGGTTATCATTTCTCCCAACCTCCACAGTCGCTTCAATGGCTTCCATAAACCCCACTCCTTTGTTCATCTCCTCTTCCCGCTCACGGAAACTTAACCGGACTTCCGACCAGTCCTCCGACGGCCTACAGAGAGATCTCAAGAAGGGCCTGTCTCGGATTCTGAGGAAAGATGCTGCTATTAGAGCTATTGAGAGAAAAGCCAATTCCAAAAAGTACAATAACCTTTGGCCGAGTGCTGTTCTCGAGGCTCTTGATGAGGCTATTCAGGAGAATCTTTGGGAAACCACTCTTAAGGTTTTACGATCTTCTTCTTTAATCTTTTTTTTTTTTTTTTTTCCCTGTTTCTTCGTTTTCAATGCTTGGAACTGGTTGCTATGTAGCTAAGAATACTCTTCCTGACTTTGTTGGATTTATAAGTGAAGAATGTTGAATCACGGCTCTTAACGAAAGCTCTAAATCGATGAGTCAGGATATATTTAATCTTTAATTGCTTTGACACTCTTACGTATTCTTCATAGTGTATAAAATCATCAATCAACTCAAAAGTAAGTTCAATGAATTACAGTAAACTTAATCTTTTATTACGCGCTGATAATTTGAATATGAATGAAGTATTAATTCTATATGAATTGCGGCTAAAATGAACTATTTCCACTCTGTCATTGAGGAGAGATCACTCATCCAACTCCAATTCCATGCCTGATTGGTTACTTTTTTGTGAAATTCTAAGTGTTCTCAATATCCTTCCAGAAGTCTTTAGCACGGGAAGTTATGTAAATCTTAGGAAATGAAAGACTAAATGGAGAATCCTCCCAAACTGTAGAGGCTATACCTTTCTTCAGAAAATCTTTAGTTTTAGCAATCTCAACCTATTGGCCGAAACTTCTTCTTGTTGAGGATTATTGAAAAAAGTAGTCCCACGTTGGCTAATTAAGAGAAAAATCATGGGTTTATAAGTAAAGAATACATCTCCATTGGTATGAAGTCTTTTGGGGAAACCAAAAGCAAAGTCATTAGAGGTTATGCTCAAAGTGGACAATATCATACCATTGTGGAGAGCCCGTGATTCCTAACACTTCTACCTGAAATTTCTCTCAGGATGGAATCAGGCTATCACTATTTGAGATGATATGTCACCGTACGATGTTCTCATGAAGAAAAAACCTCTATAGCTGTTTTGGTAAGAGAGGTGCATTTCTGTTTCTGATATCTCCCACTCCCAGCCTGCCCAAAGAGCCATGTTTGCTTTGTTTCTGCTTTCAGAACCCTTGCATCCCGTCTTGTTAGTGATCGCTTAAACCCATTTGAAATATTTCTCTGAGAAGGAGCTTCTGAAGAACTTCTTATTCAAGGGGTTATTACAAGAGCTTTCAAGGTAGCAGCTAACCAAACAACCTAGAATCCATCCAAAGAAGGCTCACATAGGTTTGAGAAATTTCTTTCCTTCATTTTTTTGAATTCAAATGAGAAAACAAAAAAATTGATACAGCATTTCCATGATGAAAATGAAAAAGCTCATTACTAATGAACTGATTTTACTGTCGTATTTCGACAATAAGAGTTATGGCCAAATAATTTTGTACATCTTTTCAGATTTTTGGCCTACTTCGCCAGCAACATTGGTATGAACCAAGATGCAAAACATACACAAAATTGTTGATGATGCTGGGTAAGTGCAGGCAACCTAAGCAAGCAAGCTTGCTGTTTCAGATTATGTTATCCGAGGGGTTGAAACCTTCTATTGATGTTTACACTGCTCTTGTTAGTGCTTATGGTCGAAGTGGCCTCCTTCACAAGGCCATTGAAACAGTTGATGAAATGAAATCCATTTCTGACTGCAAGCCAGATGTACATACATATTCAATTCTCATTGATTGTTGCACAAGATTCCGTCGTCTTGACCTTCTGAAGGACATTCTTGCTGACATGTCTTATCTGGGGATTACATGTAATACGGTCACTTACAATACTATCATTAATGGATTTGGAAAGGCTAAAATGTTTGAGCAAATGGAAAGCTTGTTATTGGAAATGATTGAAAGTGGTAGCTGCCTTCCAGATTTGATTACATTCAATTCTTTTATCAGAGCCTATGGAAATAGTGAGCAGATTGAGAAGATGGAGAAGTGGTATAATGAATTTCAGCTGATGGGAATCGAGCCAGATGATTGGACATACAATACTATGATCAGCTCGTACGGGAAAGCTAGAATGTATGACAAGATGGTGTCGGTTTTGAACTTCATGGAAAAACGCTTTTTCTCTCCGACAATTGTTACTATGAATACAATCATTGATGTGTTTGGAAGAGCTGGAAATATTAAGAGGATGGAAGAATACTTCAGAAAAATGAAATATCAGGGAATGAAGCCTAACTCTGTAACTTACTGTTCTCTTGTTAATGCATATGGTAAAGCTGGTAATATTGAGAAAGTTGATTCAATTTTGAGGCAAATTGAAAATTCTGATGTGGTACTGGATACCCCTCTTTTTAACTGCCTTATCAATGTGTATGGCCAGGCTGGTGATGTGAGAAAGATGGGAGAGTTATTCTTGGAAATGGAAGAGAATAAATGTGTGCCTGATAGCATTACATTTGCTACAATGGTTCACGCCTTAAAGACTCATGGCATGACTGAGGCTGCTCAAAGATTGGAAAATAAGTTGATTGTCACTAGAGACGACAAGATAAATTAGTGCTTATATATGATTTTGCGTAACAGTTGATTACAATAAAGTTGTCGTGGTGCCAGAATCAAAATAGCTCAACGGTTAAGGCATTGCTACTAATCTCAAGAGGTTGTAGGTTTGAATCTCACTACTCCGTATGTGATGTATATTCAAAAAAATAATGTTGGCATGTCACTTATTCTCCGGTCCTATATATGCTTCTTTGGAAACGCCACGTTCTGCCTACACAAGAAAATCTCTTGCTTTTCTAGTGCCTTTTCCTTCCAGTTGATTTTGTTGTTCTCATGTACCAAAACTTTATGACCCTCTTACATCCCTTTTATATCCTATTGGTTTGATGCAAAGAGGTGGGCTCTAAGAAAACCTGGTTGACAAGAAAACTGTAACATTCCAAGCTTACCGCTAGTAGATATTGTCTTCTTTGGACTTTTCCTTTCAGACTTCCCCTCAAGATTTTTAAAGCATGTTTGCGATGGAGAAGTTTCCATATCAGTTGGAGAGGAGAACGAAGCATTCTTTACAAGGGTGGAAAAATCTTTCCCCAAAAGATGCGTTAAAAATCTTGAGAGGAAGCTTGAAAGAGAAATTCCAAAGAGGGCAATATCTGCTCGTGGTGAGTTTGGGATGTTACAAAAACAGTGTGTAACACTTCCCTAGTGTGGAAGACCCACAATGCTGCCACCGGGGGCATGGTTACGTTTTCCAAGGATCTCTACCTTCATTAGAGCAGGCCATGCTTCTCAAGTCTTCAGGTAGACTTTATTAATTTATCCCACTACGAATTTAAACTGAAGATTTTCTTGTTTCTTTTGTTATTGCTTGCTTCTTCTATGGAAAATAATTTTTTCTATTGGATGACACTTTTAATAACTCCAAAGTTTTGTGCTTATTCAGGCTCAAGGTAGATCGCATATCTTTCAAAAGTTGTCTCGTGCCATGGCATGGAATATCTTTCACGACAAGGAAATTTTCTTGATGGTCTCGAGTCTAAATGATCCATATGTTGACGTGTAAGCGCACTCTTTTTCGTTCTCTATCTAATTGACTGCAAAGAACTTCTCAAAATAGTGTAAATACCATTCATTTAAATTGCTTACATGAGAATGCAGAACGCTATTGGTTTAAGGATAAACTTAGGAACTTAAAAGGATAAACTTACTACTTAGCTCAGTAGATTAGACGCCTTACTATTTTAAAAGTCGAGGGTTCAATTATCACCCATACAATGGTTGAACTTTAAAAGTCGATCTCAGTGAGACCAACTCGACTTATAACCAAATCTAAATTCAACAACAAGTTCAATTTCCATTAACAACATGGTATATGCATCTACTTTTTCGTTTCCTCACGATTGCATTGCTAATTCATGTATGATATTATTGTATTTGACAGAAAACTGTGTTCTTGACCATTGACCCCACCCCCCACAAGCTTTATGGGACTACTATTCCTTCTCAAGGCAATCAACCGATATCAACAAAACCATCCCTCTCCGGTCATTTCATAGCTATCTGAATATCGCAAATGATTTGGTGCTAGAAGAGGAGCTCTACCTCCCTAGCATATGGCTTGCAATTTCTGGAATTGGACTAAAGCTCAACTCGACTCGAGATGCTCCTATACTGTTCTACCGTGGCCCATCACCCTATGCATAATCCTCTGGTATCTTTAACTCTATGACTGTTACTGTTATACTGTGGCCCATTACCTTATTGCATAATCTTCTGACATTTTCACTAACTATCCAAGTTGTGCTCATCTAAAACTTGTCTGAACACAACATTTTGTAGGAAACCCTTGCACTTTTTTATTAATTTGTAGACTCTGTGCTCTGTATTTCTTGAGATGTAAACATTGGTAGGATGGAGGGGTATTTATAGCTGAAGCCGGACAATTTTTTCTTAAAACAGCTAACTACTTATTCCTAAAATACCTAAGTAATTTTCCTAAAATAATTAGGTATCTTTGTTCCTAAAATACGTGAATCATTTTCTTAAAATACATAGACAATTGGCTCATACAATTGTTGGGTTTAACGATATTGGACTAGTGATGATATTTTAATATAGATATCCTTGAGACTACCTTCATACCTTATAGCCACCTATGGAAGATGATTTAGCCTGCGGTCTAGATTCTAAGGAAAGTCGAGCATTTATTAGTCTTCTCCCAAATGAGAGAATCAAGAATAGACTAATGGCTCTTTGGACGATAAGGGGGAAATTTTCCTTCCACAAAGATTATCCCTTCATTTGAGAAAATTTTGTAACGGTCGAATTGTTCCACTGCTAGTATACAGTGTCTGTTTTAGTCTGTTATGTATTGTTGTCAGCCTTACAGTTTTAGACGCAGGAGAGGTTTCCTCACCCTTATAACAAATATTTCGTTTCCCTCTTTAACCAAGGTGAGATCTTACAAATTTTAAAGTTACCACTTAATCCTACGGGCCTAAGAAAAGAATTAAACAAACAACATGAACCTAAATTAACCAGTTGAAGTATTAAAAGTTGAAAAGCAGTGAGAAAACGAATAAGCTAGTGGAGGGATGACAAATGTAAGCTCCTCCAAAGCCCAAACAGTGAAGTTGGATAAAGCTAACACATCGATCTGTTTTCAAAGCAAAAGACAAAGCATTGGAAGGCATCATTGTTTGAAGGAATTTTGTGGGTTAAGACACCAATGGTTTTTCAGCCCCCAATAGTTTTGGATTTGGGTCAATGAATGCTAAGGACTTGTTTGGATTTGGACATAATATTATTCCTTTTTTCTTTTTAAATTTTTATAATATTTGTTTATATTGTGAGGATGGATTTGACAAAAACCCACAAAACCATATATTCTCATTCCTTTTTGTGGCATATCGTTGCTTCATTATCAACAATTCAGGTTTGAAAAAAAAAGGTCATTTTCAAACCTTCAAATCGATGCAGTGCTTGCCATGTAAACTCTAATGCATAATTTAGTGTAGCAGGAATTTTAGAAATTTGAAAGTGATTATTACATTTTTCAAGTTGAAGAAGAATATTTTTAGTCTTATTAAGTTTTTTTTTTTCGATTTCTTTCTGAATTAGGTCAAAAGAGGATCGAATCGGACTAATGTGTGTCCTAGCCTGATCAGTGAACTTGTGCTTTTGCCTAAGTTTTCCTTTCCTCTCTCCTGTTTGATCAGGTACTTGTACGACAATTTCTATTAGTACATGAAATTTTTCTTATTCGAATACTTTGTTAAACAAGCTTAAGATTTCAAGTTCATCTTCGATGAATGTGAATGGATCGAATCTTTCTCCAATCTCTGTGTTTAAAAATCATGAAAATTTGGATTTCTTGGTAATGCATGATTGATCATAGAATTGGGTTCCTTTCAACTTCTAATTTTCAAAAAGTTGATTTCATAGTTGCATTAAACTAGCCAATGGGAATGCGACATGTGTCAAAGAAACAGACTTCAAGGGACCCACCTTTCCATTTATCAATTTAGATTCTTCTTTTTCCACATTTTTTTTTCTTTGGAAAATCATCATTTGTTTCAAATTTAACATCAACTTTGCCTTTCAAAGTTTTCATGATTCTTTTATAATGGCTATCATTCTTTTATAATGGCTATCATGATTGTATCATGATTGATCGAGTATACTTTTGTTCATACGGTTTATATTTGATCTAAAAAAATTCTCTGAAAATACTTTTACCGTTACTTTTCGATGGAAACCGTTAGTACTCTATTTCAATAATACCCATAAACTTGCGAACGTAGAATTATTACTCTTAATTTTTATTAAAAAAAGTTTTAAAATATTTGTTCCGATAATATAGATGAAAATGGTCCATTTGCATTTCATAGATCATCTTCCTCTTGTATTTTAAGAGTACAAATTCTTTAAAGTTCATGAGTATTTATGAAACATAGTACTAATGGTTTACATTCATATACTAACGCTTAAAAAAGTTTAAGGGTATTAGTGAAACTTTCCAAAAAAAAAAGATATTTTTTAAAACATGTTTGATTGTTAAGTGTATTTTTTAAACAAAGTATTAACGGCTTCCATCTAAAACTAATTGTAAACGTATTTTCGAATATTTTTTTTAGGCCAACTACAAATTTCAAGGACAATTTTATTAATTTAACCTAAAATATATTTTTACTTTCAAATTTTTACTCGAACAAAATAATATAGATAGAATTGATGACGGAATAACATTTGATTCACTTATCTCGATATGATATCAACTATTTCACGTATAAACTGATATAAATTTATTCTTGAAATCTCTACTTCAAAGGGCTCGTACTACGGATAAAAGTACGATTATACCTGCCTTTAAAAATTTTAGACATAGGAGGAGTCTATAGGGCTAATATTGGGAAAAAAAAAAAAAAGTCAAAGAAAGGACACATAAGTCAAAGTGCTCCACTAGCCTTGGAATTGGGTCATAAAGAAGCCCTATGTTTAGAGGCATTTGGTAATAAAGAAACAAGCCCTCCATGTGACAAGAACAAAACTTTGGACCCGAAATTTAAGGACAATCAATGTGTCCCAATGTCATCCAATGAATCATTAAGGGTAGATCTTGCAATCTATACTTGATAAGGAATGTACCCAATTGTCATAGCAAACCTTATTTTTACATTTATACACGTGTTCGTGTGAGAGCCCATATTGACTATAGAGGGGAATGACACATTTTTATAAAGGTGTGGAAATATCTTCCTACTAGACGCGTTTTAAAATTGTGAAGCTGAAGACATTAACGGGTCCAAGCGGATAATATCTGCTAGTGGTGGGCTTGAGCTGTTACTAATGGTATCAGAGCTAGACTCAGGTAGTGTGTCGGTGAGGACTCTAGATTTTCAAAAAGAGGGTGAATTGTGAGATCCCACCTTTGTTGGAAAAGGGAACAAAACACTTTTTATAAGAGTATAGAAACCTCTCCCTAATAGATGCTTTTTAAAATTATGAGACTAACAAAAATATGTAACAATACAATATGGTGACTCGGGGATTAATGTTCTAAATTTTACTCAATGCTCTCTTTCTCATACTTTTCCAAACTTGTCTTGATTGGGTTAAATTTCATCCCCATTTTAGGGTTTATTAAATTAAGCTTAAAATTTTATTTTAGAATTTTTTTCTAATATAGTTTTATATTTTTCATTTCCAAAATTGTTTTATTAACTACTCATTTTTTTTAATAGAAAAATAACTTTATTTTATTTTATTTTTATATGAAAACCCGTAGAATTTTTTTTCCCAAAAAAACAAAATTTTTTATATAACAATTATCCAAAGTGGTTGCTTTGAGGGCATAAATATCCTTTATGAGGACATTACTTTTATTTCAAATATATATATATATATATATATATATATATATATGCATGTATTTGATAAGTTTTCTATATGAAGCACATGAAAGGTAATGTTTGAGTGTGAATTTGAAATTTTAAAGTGTTTAAAAAATGTTTTTAAATGGATAAATATTTTAAAATACTTAAAATATAAAACTAAAATAGTTTCCTAAAATACTAACATTTTTTTTCTTTATCTGTTATTCATCTGACAGTAGGATTATTCATCTGACACGTAGGAGTGTTCATATGACTCAATAAGGTGACCAATCCAGGCTACCCATCCTAAACCATAAACACTGGGTTGGGTTAGAGTTTTTTTTTTTAATTTGAGTTGGATTGAATGGTTCGTCTGGAAAATAGTATTATAACTCAATTTAACAAAAACTAATTTTTAAGATTATTATGAAAAATTAAGAATATTTGACATTGTTATCGATATGATATTTGAATTTTATGAGATTTAATTATTAATATAACGTGTATTATAGATAAGTATGATTTTTTAAATAATTAAAAAAGAAATAACCACGACCCAAACCAATCCAAATATGTATCACAAGCACAAGGGCTATAGCTCAGGTGGTAGAGCACCTCGTTTACTCGCGTGCCAATGTTTTTTTAGAGAAGTACATCATGTAATCAAAAGGGTTGATTTTATTGAGAAATCGATGTCTTATTCCATTACTTTTAGGGAACAAAACAAGAGAACCGTAGCTTGACTAAAGAAAGGTTCGGTTCGAATCGAGTGTCTCATTTAGGCACTAAAAAAAAATTCATCATTGATTTGAGATATTGATAAGATGAATACCTAGTCTATTCAATGCTAGACATAGTGAGTGTACCGAGCCTCTCTCCGAGACAGTGCCCAGATCGTTACGCCTTTCGTGCGAGTCGGAACTTACCCGACAGGGAATTTCGCTACCTGAATTGGGTTTTGTTGTGAGCTTTATTTAGGTAGCTCGGGTCACCATCCAACTAATCCAAAATTCCGAGTTGATTCAAAAAATCTCCTCAATCCACGTAGAACCCTATTTACAATTTTTATCACCAATGGACATATTTGGCATAAAAAAAATGGCGATAAGGCAAAAACTTTAGAGAAGTAATAAACGAGAGAAATCCAAATCCATGAGATTGATCGACTCAATTTTGCTTCCTCTCTTATAAACTTCCAAATTTCATTATCCCATACCTTTTAATTTGTCACCAAAATCCTAAATTTTAGAGTCGGGAGAGATTTATTCCCATTAACTAATCAGGATTAGGGACGAAAATTATGTTCCCTATCTCTACCCTGTTGACATCTCTAATGTCGGGAACATCTTAAAAAGACTAATATGGTCATGTTTGGGGACGAAAATTATGTTATGTACCTTTGACCTGTTGACATCTCTAATGTTGGGAACATCTTAAAAAGAGTAACGTAGTCATTATCCTCGTTAACTAAACGAGATTGGGTACGGAAATTATGTTCTGTACCTCTACCCTATTGACACTTCTAACGTTAGGAATATGTTAAAAATACTAGTGTAGTTATGTTTAGGGACGAGAATTATATCCTGTGCATTTACCCTGTTGACATCTCTAACATGGTCATGTTGCAAGTGATGTACAAATAACGTCGGGATTATCAAATTCTAGATATATAAGATGAGATATGAATTAAAAAACCAAACATGAGGAGTAATAAAATATTGAATAAAAATAAGTAAGAAACAGAAGATTAGATGGGAAAACAGAAGGGATGGATAGCGGGGGAGACTGTTTGGAAGCAGGAACAACGGAAGTAGTAGCGTGGACCTTGGCTGTTTTTTTTTGGCTGCCGGTTACCGAGCTGTCAAAATTAGCATCGTCACAGCTTGAATTACAACACCATCCTTTTGGATTTTGGATTTATCTACCGCATACACATTGCCGTATTTTTCGACACGTGGGGTGTGGTCCCCACTCCCATTCCACGCCTTTCACTTTCTGACGTTGACCACACGGTTACGTTAACCCCTGCCCTTATCCAATAAATTGCCATTTTTTATTTATAATTTATAGTTCTTCACTTTTCCACGTAATACATATCCCTTTCCATTCCATTCCTCTTTCCATTAGAACAAGTGTCGCACAACCGCTATTCCACTATCGCAAAGGATGCGATTGTAGACCAATCTTATAAAACTATTATTTGAGCCATATAAGTGATAAAGTTGTATACACATATTGGATCGAAAAAATCTTTTGGACTACCTTAAAATTACAGGTTGATTGGGTTGGTGACCCGAGCCATTCGAATAGAGTTTATAGCCCAACTCAACCCAACCCAACCCTCTATTCATAGATTGGATTGAGTTATATTGTCGGGTACATATTACATTAATAGCTAAAATCTCATAAATTTCAAATATAAAACATTTACACATCACAATCCATCGTTAAAATTGCTTACCAACGTTCAATATTCTTAATTTTTTTAAAAAAAAGTAAAATAGAGTATGAATAGATTGTAACTTTATTTTCGGGTTGGTCGAGTTGACCCGACAAAAAAATGTCAATTCACAAACCGAATCGACCAAAACCAAAAGAAAATCTAACTCAATTCAACTTTTATGATTTGAATTAGATAATTAAGTTAATTAATCAGTATATAATTAAAATATTTTCAATAATCAGTATATAATTAAAATATAAATATTATGAGATTACACTGAAAAAACGAATGAATTTTCTCTTTTAAAATTTTTCTTTTTAAAAATATATTCCTAATAATTATTTTTTACACCAAAAAATTCTTAAAACAATTATAATAAAATTTTTAGTCTCTAAAATCCTAATAAATTTCAAGAAAAATAAAAAGAAAAAAAGTTCAAATATACTCATTGTTGGAGAAGCGTAAATAATAATAATAATAATAATAATAATAATAATAATAATAATAATAATAATAATACCAGAAAATACCAATTTCTTTGAAATATTTTTGAGATAATAATAAATTAGAAATTCAAAAAGAACTTTCCACGTGTTATTATATATTTTTTTCTTTTTTTACAATTTTATAAATACGATTTTCATTTCCTTGTCTCATTGTTAAATTTTAATTTTTTTTTAAAATTTAAGTTTATTTAAGTAATTAAAAAAATAAATGTAAAATAATAAATTTATGATGCTAATTTTTAAATATATTGTTATTATAATATGATAAATAATTTAACTAGACTATTTTATCCAATTAGTTTTAGAAAAAAAAATAGTTTTAAAATTTTGAATAATTTTATTAAAAAAACAAGGACTAAAAACAAAATTATTGAGTACAAAGCATAAAAAACAAAATTCCACGTGCATTTATCATGCATATCAAGCAACTAACAAATATTTAAAAATTAAAATAATTTTAATAATTAAAATAAAATAATTATAGGAAAAAAAAAAAAGAAGAAGAAGACTGCAGGGTACAATCATACAAGTACAAGCATCATTAAATTAATGTTAATAAATTATTAGTTATTTGACTCGATGAAATTCCGATATTACCCCTCAAAGAACATAAATAATTGGAGTAATGACCTTATGTGTGAGGTCAATTAAGCCATTATTTAATGTTTGGTTTTTGCAAAATTAGGACATGTCAACCTAACTCGAATGGAATTCACATTCCAATTCATTATTTTTTTTATTTATCCATAATACATGTAACATTAATAACTAAAGTCTCGTAAATTCAAATATCAAATATTTACAAAGTCACAATGTATCACTAATATCAGTTACAACTATCAAATATTCTTAAATCTTTATAGTAATCTTTAAAGTAAGGTAATCCGACCAAAAAAATATTAATCCATGAACTGACTTGAATTTTTTATTTTTAAAAAAATCAACCCAGCCGAAACCGAAAAAAATCTAACAAAACCTAAAATTTATGGTGTGAGTTAGGTACTCTGAATTTGACCGAGTTTATATGAATATCCTAAAAAAAGAAAAAAAAAAGTGATTTTGCATTCCTCTTCTATTATTTTATTTTTATTTTTTAGATTGATTTTTTTAAAAAAAAGTTTATTAATGATTTTTATGGTATGAAAATTTTATTTATTTAATTTTGAGAAACATTATTTTAACAAATTGTTTATTTCTCTCTCTAAATTTTAGGAATGGAGTAGAAGTCGGGAAAACTAAAAAAAAAAAAAAACTATATAAGCCGACTCCCGCTATTTCTTCAGCATTCATTACAACAGTCCCTGACCTTCAATTTCCCTCTCTCTCTCTCTCTAGAATTCTTTCAATTTCTTCCTTTCTTCTTTCATGGATTCCCCTTCTCGTTCCTCCGTCATAGTCATCGGCGCCGGTGCTTCCGGTGAGTCACTCTACTTCAAATTCCTTTAATAATGCTTTACCTTCGTATATCATTATTGATTCCACACTCTGTTTCTGAGATGCTCTGTTTTTGTTCTTATTTGGTTGATTTTTTGATCGGAAGGTCTGTCGGCGGCGAAGGTGCTGGTAGAGAATGGAATAGACGACGTGGTGATTTTAGAGGCTTCCAATCGTATTGGAGGAAGAGTATGTAAGGAGAATTTCGGAGGCGTATCGGTGGAGCTTGGAGCGGGGTGGATCGTTGGAGTCGGCGGTAAAGAGCAGAATCCGATTTGGGAACTTGCTCTCAAATCCAGTCTCCGTACATGCTTCTCTGATTACAGCACTGCTCGCTACAATATCTACGATCGGAGGTTCGAATCAACTCTCCCGATCTCTGTGTTTCGGATTTCTTTTAATCCTCCGCATTTTCCGTCTGATTTTCTCTTTTAGGGACATTATTTGAGTGCTATTGAACAATGTAATGTCGGTTGAGAGACGGATTTTGAACCTGCATCTGTCAATTTTTTGTTCCTTTTTGTGTCTCTCTTTTTTGTTTCCCGTCAATTTGAAGCGAGAATTTAGGTTTCTGAATCAATGAGTTCGCAGTGGGAAAATTTTTCCGAGTGGAGTAGCGGCTGTTTCGTACAAGAAGGCGGTGGACTCTGCGATTCAGAAGCTGAGGAACCAGGGGGCGGATGCCGCTGATGTCTCCATTGTATCGGAGCCGCCTTGGTAACTTCTTCTACAAGTTTATTGTTGGTTTGATGAGCATCTAAAAAAAGAGAGATAATTATGGCGTTAATATTCTCAGAACACAGTTTTATGTGATCTCTTCCTTCTTTTGTTTTCAGCACGCCTAAGACTCCGATGGAACTCGCCATAGACTTTACGCTCCACGATTTCGAGATGGCAGGTCGTTTTGGTGCCCTAAATTTGTTGATGAGAATGTTGAATTGAGAACTGATTGTGTTTATGTGCAGAGGTTGAGCCTATACCGACGTTCTTGGATTTTGGAGAGAGGGAATTCTTGGTAGCAGATGAAAGAGGGTACGAATGTTTGCTCTACAAAATGGCCGAGGATTTTCTTTTGACCTCATCAGAGGGGAAAATTTTGGACACTCGTCTCAAGCTCAACAAGGTGAGCAAAAAATGAGTAATTACATTTCTTCAATGCCTAAATTTTATAAATTTTATTAACGGTATTAGTATTTTTTATAAAATTTTAATTTATTTGAATGTTAGTAAAGTTATTTTTTAAATAAGATATCAATAATTTCTCTTGTATTATTTATTATGAGTATTAATAAAATGTTTGAAAATTTATAGTTAATTTTATACTGATTGTTGAAATAATTTTGAAACAAATTGATAGTGTATACACCTCAAAAACTTTGCGTTAGAGATAATTCATGTGTTTTAAATGAAAATTTTGTCTGTTCTGGTTTTGATTACCTAATCATATGAGAAAACAGAAAAAGGATTCAGGATAGAAATCCCGGGGTATCTGTTTTGTTTGCATGTGCTATTCTAATTGTTGTTGAGATTGATGATTGACCCACTTTTGGGAGTTTGCAGATAATGACGTTTCCGAAACCCATTTCCATTCATATTTATGTGATTATTATTGTCATTTCATTTCCCAGTTTATATTATGTGTATGTTAGCGTAGGTACTGGTCAACTTGTTTTTGCTTTAATTCTTTTAGCGGCTGACAAGACCTTATGATCCGCACGGGAAACCTGGCTGATGAGAAAAATCTGTCTTGGGATTTGTGAGCTTTTGCAATATAATATTTGGTTGAAATTAGTGACAGCTGCGTGTAGCCCATATGATCTGCTTTGCATCTTTGATGTCCTAATTATAGGCATGTCATTCATTATGCATGAAAGTAATGTTATACAATTATGGAGAATTGTGTTTGTCCTAATATAGTATCAGAGTCATACTCTAAACTTAGTCGTGCCAATAGATTGGTAAATCCTGAAATGTCGAACAAAGGACTTCAAAAGAAAAGGAGTCAACTCTCCTCGAAGGCATAGTAAAAATGATTAAAACTCCAAATGAATCAAGTCTTGATTAAGGGGAGACTTACTTTGTTCGAGGGGAAATGTTGGATGATGAAAGTCCCACATCGGCTAATTTAGAGAATGATCATCAAATAATACTATCTCCATTGGTGTGAGGCCTTTTGGGAAGCCAAAAGCAAAGTCATGAGAGCTTAGGCTCAAAATGGACAATATTATACCATTGTGGAGAGTCGTATTCGTCTAACATACATAACTGTTTTACTTGTTTTCATGTTAGATAGACTTTTATTATTGTTATTGCATAGGTATTGTTATTGCATGGGTTGTGATGAATAGTTAAATCGGCTAAGATTTCCCTTAATTTAGTTACTTTCCCAACTAAAAAAGAAATTGGCTCGAGTTCTAGATGGAGTTGACTGCTGTGTCATATCCTTATCTGTTTCTATTCATGTCCATGACGAAATTTATGCATAATTTTTTGCAGGTTGTTCAGGAAATACAACACTCGAGAACCGGCGTTACTGTAATAACGGAGGATGGATACATCTATGAAGCCAATTATGTGGTTTTGTCTGTCAGCATTGGTGTTCTCCAAAGCCACCTCATTTCTTTCACTCCACCTTTACCCGTACGTTTTCTTCCATTATTTATTAATCTCTCTCTCACTGACTTTTGCCCCCTACAATTTATGACAACGTGTCGTATCTATTGCCCCTTGATTTGTGAACAGAGGTTCACCAATTTCCCCGTCTTCTAAGATCGATGGGGCTGAATCTTGACCCTTAATATTCATAACACAATAATTATCTCTGAGGTGGTAACATATTCCCACACCGCTCTCTGTTTCTGTGTACTGATGCTCCTTGTGATCTGTTATTTTTATATAGCCGCTGGGTTTAGTACTATCCATATAAACAGGGTGGTTTTAAATTAATGAAACAGAGTTGGAAAACAGAGGCCATAGAGAAATGTGACGTGATGGTATATACAAAGATTTTCCTCAAGTTTCCATACAAGTTCTGGCCGTGCGGCCCCGGAAAAGAATTCTTTATTTACGCCCATGAAACCAGGGGCTACTACACGTTTTGGCAGGTTCTTTAATACTTTTCTTCTTTCAATAACTTTTCTGTTGTTGTTTCTTCCAGCTAATACTGATCTCATCATTTCCACTCATCCATAAATAATGAGTGAATAAACAAAGCTTCGTAGCTAGAAGAATTATACACTTGCTTGCCCATATAAGCCACAGGCTAGCCAGCCAGGTCTTAGGTTGAACAATTAGTAGCCGTATGACCTGTGCTGTGTTATGCATCAAATATTTTTTCATATGTTAGGTTTTTATATTAGTTTACTCTTTATCGCTATCGACTTATTACACGATTAGAGCTCGGATGTACTTTCATAATGAATCATGCCTCAGGTGCACATGGGTTACATGCACTCTATTTTATATTATTCAAATAGAGTTCTATTAGTCGCATTTGATGCTAGTCCAAGCTTAGTTCGATCGAGAAACAACTTAGTACCATTTCCAGTGTTGATAGTTCGATCTTCGACTCCTACCATTGTTTATCTTAAAAAAAAAAAAAAAAAAAAAAAAAAAAAAAAAAAAAAAAAAAAAAAAAAAA